ATTACCAGTAATTCATATTTAAGGAGAGTTCGCTAAATGTCTATGTATTACTAAGCACTGTCTTTGATCACAAAAGCCAACCAATACTACAAGAGTAAAAATGTTTTGAGGCAGTGAATAAAAAATCAATAATGCTTTGTTTTGCTATCATGAATAGTTTGTGAGAAGTTAATGTATATGATTGCATATCATTGTATTTCATGCTTGGAAATACGCTTGTATCTGTTTTTGAATATAGAGTTAACTAGCTTATACACATACATTGTACTGTACACTTACATTTTAGTCACTTGGAATGAAAATTGAAAAAAAAAACCAGCATTAACAAGTAAATGATTATTATCATCCCAATAAGAGAATATTTTAGGCCCTCAAAAAATACATCTACTTATGTATGCTAAATATTAAGTTCATTGAATAAAGTTAGAGAAAACTGTGTGCAGATACGAAATCCAGTTTTGATACTTTTATGATGGGCGGAGGATTGCTGTTTAACACTTTCGGAAGGCACTCATCTGACCCTTCTGCAAATGGTGGTTGAACAGGAAACACATGAGCCTATCAAATATAATAAAAATAAAAACCAAAAATGATTATTTTCATGATCATCCTACACTCGGTAAGCATACACAAATTAAAACTCATTATAAAAAGAGACAGCACAACCAAATTGACATCTTTCATGCTCCTTGCAAAGACAGGTTAAAGTTACATCAACCCAAACACACCATTTTTTTTTAATGTTACCTTCCCAACTTTAATAGCCTCTGGCTCTAAAGAATAAAAACCAATTTCACAAACAAGGATTCCCCGAAGCCACAAACCTACAGAGATGGTAAAATAAAACAAAATCACTAATTTTCTAAGACAAGCACTAGGATGATAGGAAAAGATTTCTGTGGGAATTATCCAGAAGCTCACCTCAATTTCCAAAATAATTTCTTTAATTTTAAAACTTTCCTAATTCAAGGAGACGTGAAGAAAAAAAACAAAGTTAAATGTCTGTGCATCTCTAAGAATGTTATGGAAAATTAAAAAAAAAAAAAAAAGTTCCTTCACAAAACAAATATATTGACCAGGTGCGGTGGCTCATGACTGTTACCTCAGCACACTGAGAGACTGAGGGCAGATCACTTTGAGGTCAGGAGTTTGAGACCAGCCTGGCCAACATGGTGAAACCCAGTTTCTACTAAAGATACAAAAAAAGTTAGCTGGGCATGGTGGCATACACCTGTAGTCTCAGCTATTCAGGAAGCTGAGGTGAGAGGATCACTTGAACCTGGGAGGCGGAGGTTGCAGTGAGCCAAGATCAGGCTACTGCACTCCAGCCTTGGTGACAGAGCAAGACCCTATGTCAAAAGAAAAAAAAAAAAAAAATCTTATTGCCTCATATTTAAATATTTTAATAGTAGCTATGCCAATGGCATGGAAAATTAAAGTAAAATGCAAGTCCATTTAGTATGTACTCAGTAGAGAAATGGAAGGCCCCAGAAGACAACTAGCCTGTCAATAAAGCATAGTGGCAGTCCATTCAGTTTAATTTCCAAAAATTAAGTGAATATCCACACTGTTCCTCTGAAAAAAAATACAAAAATACCACATAAATGGTGGTTACAAATGATATGGCTCCAATAGTCTCAGAAGAGAGACCAAAAACTAACTTATGGAAATGGTTTTGGATGTGCTGATCAGTGTGCTCTGCCAAAAATCAACCATGCACTCCAAAACACTAAAGTACTAACAACAAGAATTTCAAAAAACATACCTCTGTGGCATAGATTTTGAAGAGTATCCATGAGATATACCAAGTCGTCAGGAGAAAGACACCACACAGCCAGACATGGTAGAGTAATGAGAGGTTTAAGAGGCCACTCACTGTGTCAAGTGGCCTATGAACCTGCCTGTGAACACAGAAGTAACGATTAATCCTCTAGGAAAAATGCAATCTAAACATTAACACACTGAAGTCTCCACACTGAGAAACACATATTATTTCCAAATAACAATGTTGACATCCTCCTTTCCTTTGGTACCCTTACAGAGTTCTTTCCCTAATACTTCCTTATGAGGTACATCAGGGAGCTTTAAGGGAAGCAAAGACCTAAATCGGGACTACAGTTTCTTGTGTTCCAAATCTTCACTGACATTTACTACAAAGGAAGAATGAGCTAAGCCTATAAGCCTCACTACAAGCAGCTGGATGAAAGTTTATTATTGTTGCTTTGTAGTCTAATACCTCAAAACCATTAAACATGAGTACTACCTCTTCTGGACCAGATTTCAGCTTTCTCCTTATGCCCTATAAACCACAAATTCACAGTCGTTAAAAGCACATGCAACTAAATAATGTTAAAGCAATTTAAGACACTCTGTTAGAATGCTACGTAAAGCTAATGCCGCCATCTTTCCAAAATCTTGAATAGATCAATTAGCAAAGTTATTATAATCCTACAAGCAGCAATTGGGAAGACCAGGATTCAAACGTGACTGCCATTTCTAAGTGTTGTGATTAGGTAAATCACTCAATCTATCCACCCTTGGTTTCCTCATCCATATAACAGTGGCATAATCTCTTCATTCTTCCTCTTAGGGCTATTACAATTTTTAAAACAGCTTACATTAGGAGTACCCCGCACAGTACTTGACACTCACTGGGGGAGTCAACCAATAATGAAGTTATTTTTAACTTATAAGTTAATATTTACTGAGGCCCTGACATAAAGGACAGAATATCAGGCACTCAGCCATACACACAAAACATTTTTTGAGTGCAAGGAAAATAAAGCATTGCTAAATTTCTATCAAATACTACTATTATTTTTCTCTTTCCATTTCACCTAGTTTCAAATCTAGACCAACATAACATAGACCCATGTGTTTGGTTTCATACCTAGCAATTAAGTAGAAGACAAAACTAAATTTTGCCTAGAAACTTTGAAAAGTGAGAAACCATAGTATCTCTTAAATGCCAAATATGCCAATATTCCCACTCCCTAAAACTGATGTTAGTGAATTCCATATATGATATAAAAACCCTCACAGGGGAATACACAATAAGAACAAACACTGAGAGAAACTGACTTTTATTCTGCAAATAGAGATTAAACCTTTATGTGCAAAGTGCATAGAGGATAACGAGAACAATATGTGCCAGTGCTGTCACTCGACTGCCACTTGTGACCTTCAACTGACCACCTGACCTTGCTCAATTTTGGTTTCCTCACAGGCTAAATTAGAATAATGCCACTGCATTGGTATGTATCATGAGATAGCAGAGAGCGAATGATTGTTGGGGAGAAAAACCAAACAAAGGCTTGGTTCATGCAACTCGAGAAATCTACTTTTATATAGTATAAAAGCTGCATCTAACAACAACAATTATCACTACTTACTTCTGGGGAGAACTGGGTGAACGGAGACAGAGGAAAAGGAGACTTTTTCATTTTATACCCAATTATTATTATTTTTCTTTTTTTTTTTTTTTGAGATGGAGTTTCACTCTTGTTGCCCAGGCTAGAGTGCAATGGCGTGATCTCAGCTCACAGCAACCTCCGCTTCCCTGGGTTCAAGCGATTTTCCTGCCTCAGCCTCCCGAGTAGCTGGTATTACAGGCATGCACTACCATGCTCAGCTAATTTTTTGTATTTTTAGTAGAGACAGAGTTTCTTCACGTTGGTAAGGCTGGTCTCAAACTCCCGACCTCAGGTTATCCTCCCACCTTGTCCTCCCAAAGTGCTGGGATTACAAGTGTGAGCCACCACACCCGGCCACTATTATTATTTTTCTTTGAGACAGGGTCTTGCTCTATTGCACAGGCTGTAGTGCAGTGGCACAATTATAGCTCACTGCATCCCTGAACTCCTGGGCTCATGCGATCCTCCTGCTTCAACCACCCAAGTAGCTGGGATTACAGGCATGTACCACCACGTCCTGCTAATTATACCCTTTTATACACCTTTGGAATCTTTTTTTTTTTTTCTGAGAGGAAGTTTTGCTCTTGTTGCCCTGGTTGAAGTTCAATGGCACGATCTTGGCTCACTGCAACCTCCACCTCCCAGGTTCAAGTGATTATCCTGCCTCAGCTTCCTGAGTAGCTGGAATTACAGGAGCGCACCACCATGCCTGGCTAATTTTGTATTTTTAGTAGAGATGGGGTTTCTCCATGTTGGTCAGGCTGGTCTCAAACTCCTGACCTCAGGTAATTCGCCCACATCAGCATCCCAAATTACTGGGATTACAGGTGAGCCACCACATCTGGCCACCTTTGGAATTTTAAACCATATAAACTGTATGTATTCAAAAATGAATGTGATTTTTTTTTTTAAATGTTAAAGGCAAAATCTAAACACAATATCTGGAAAATAGCAAACATCTAAAAGGATGGAAAGAGAGTTAAAATTAGACATTTTATATATCACTTACTCATCTATGTGAAGGTTCATAGCAGTGCTAATCCAAGCTTTGGGAATATGGCCTGAGGGGAAAAAATACCAAGCTATGAATATAAAAAGTTATAAAACAAGTTTTAGTCAAGCTTTAGAATATAAGGTCAATGACAGGGCCACACAGACCCCAAGACCTCAGTCAAAATGTTAGACTGATTAGGAATGAGTAGGAAAAGAGAGTAACTTATAAGTACAGGCAGTCTTTGCTTTGCACAGTTCTGATAAATACACATTTCAGTTGCCACGGTTTAGTTAAAAAACACCAGTCCCCCAACAACACAGTTCAAACTCTACTTACTGCGGTATGTTAACTATAAGCAACTGCATATAGCACTTCTAACTTTTCAGTACACAAATCAATATGTAGATAACAGAGGCGCACTATAATCTGTGACTGATCCCATCAATTCTCTCAAAGTCTGTTGCTGATTGGTCACTTGAATCTGTTACTCAGTTCAGACACAGAAAGCTAAGCATGTGTTGTGCTGCCTCCTTATCTCTTATAATAAATCCAAACCATACTTTTAAAAAATGAATAGCTAAAATAGGAAACTAGTACTCGCTTCGGCAGCACATATACAAAAACTGGAATGATACAGAAAAGATTAGCATCCTGAGCAAGGATGACATGTAAATTCATGAAGCATTCCATTAAAAAAAAAATGGTTTTAATTTAAAAAAATAAAAGAGGAAACTGGCAAAAAAAAAAAAAAAAAATCAAAGTGAAACAAAGAGGCCACCAATCATCATGGCAGATGAGAGGCAGGACTAGATTGCAGCTCCCGAAAGAGCAGCTTGCAGAAGCTCATGTTGTGAATTTTTAGCTACAGATCAACGGCAAGAACAAACGAGCAATCTTGAGAGGACCCACAGACCCTCTGAAGGAAGCAGACTGCTCCTGGGGACCCAGGAGATACCCCAAATACTGAGTGCCCCAACTGCAGAAGTGGGAAAGGGAGACCCTCCTCTCCAGAGCACACATCCCACTGGAGAAGCTGAAGGTCTGTTTGCAGGAAAAGTTTCTGACCTTATCTGGAGCGGAACCAACCAATATAGAGAATCAAGCAACATAGAGGGATAGAGGAAGCAGTAGAAAGATACTGGGAGCTTGGTTCCCTAGCAGGCCATTCCTGTCTGGCACCTCAGGGATCCATCAGGAGGGTGACCAGAGGAGCAGGGGGTAGAACTCCACAGGGAGAAGGAAATCTCTTGCTGAACTTTGTAACAATTTGAACCGAGTAAGAAGCCTCCCAGCCAGAACTCAGGGGAGGGTGCAAATCTAATGTGCAGACACCACAGGCAGGGGAAAAACCAAACCCTTTACTTTCCCAGCTGGGAGGCGGGTAACCCAGGGTAAGTTTTCAAGCCCGTCTTGCCCTCCACCTGGAAACAGACTCAGGGCTGTTGCAGGGCACACAGTGGAAGTGAGACTGGCCCTTTGGTTTGTATGGGAGCTGAGTGAGGCCTGTGACTGCTGGCTTTCCCCCACTTCCCTGACAACCTGCATGACTCAGTAGAGGCAGCCATAATCCTCCTAGGTACACAACTCCGGTAACCTGGGAATCTAACCCCTATCCCTCACAGCACCTGCAGCAAAACCTGCCCAAGCAGAGGCTGAGCTCAGACTCACCTAGCCCTGCCCTCGCCTGATGGTCCTTCCCTACCCATCCTGGTAGTGGAAGACAAAGGACATATAATCTTGGGAGTTCTAGGGCCCTACCCACTGCTGGTCCCTCTCCACACTACTACAGCTGATGTTTTCTGGAAAGTGCAACCTCCTGACAAAAGGCCAACCAGCACAAAAGTAAAGCATTAAACCACCAAAGCTAAGAATCCTCACGGAATCCACTGCACCTCACCACCACCACCTCCACCGGAACAGGCACTGGTATCCATGGCTGAGAGACCTAGAGATGGTTCACATCTCAGGACTCTGTGCAGATAACCCCCAGCACCAGCCCAGAGCCAGGTAGACTCACTGGGTAGCTAGATCCAGAAAAGAGACAACAATCACTGCAGTTCAGCTTACAGGAAGCCACATCCAAAGGAAAAGGGGAGAGTACTGCATCTAAGGAACACCTCGTGGGACAAAAGAATATGAACAACAGCCTTTAGCCCTAGACCTTCCCTCTGACAGAGGCTACCCAAATGAGAAGGAACCAGAATGCCAACCCTGGTAATATGACTAAACAAGGTTCTTCAACACTCCCCCCCAAAAAAATCACACTAGTTCACCAGCAATGAATCCAAACCAAGAAGAAATCCTTGACTTAACCTGAAAAAGAATTCAGAAGGAAGTTAAGCTAATCAGGTAGGGACCAGAGAAAGGCCAAGCCCAATGCAAGGAAATCCAAACAATGATACAAGAAGTGAAGGGAGAACTATTCACAGAAATGATAGCTTGAAGAAAAAACAATCAATAATTCGGAAAACTTTGTACACACTTTTAGAAATGCAAAATGCTCTGGAAAGTCTCAGCAATAGAATTGAACAAGTAGAAAGAAATTCAGAGCTCGAAGACAAGGTCTTCAAATTAACCTAATCCAACAAAGACAAAGAAAAAAGAGTAAGAAAATATGAACAAGGTCTCCAAGAACTCTGGGAATATGTTAAATAACCAAACAAGAATAACCGGTATTCCTGAGGAAGAAAAGAATTCTAAAAGCTTGGAAAACATAATTGGGGGAATAATCGAGGAAATCTTCCCTGGCCTTGCTAGACCTAGACATCCCAATACAAGAAGCACAAAGAACACCTGCAAAATTGATCACAAAAGATCTTCACCTAGGCACACTGTCATCAGGTTATTCAAAGTTAAGATGAAGGAAATAATCTTAAGACCTGTGACACAGAAGCGCCAGGTAACCTATAAAGGAAAACCTATCAGATTAAGAGCAGATTTCTCAGCAGAAACCTTCCAAACTAGAAAGGACTGGGGCCCTATCTTCAGCCTCCTCAAACAAAACAATTATCAACCAAGAATTTTGTATCCAGCGAAACTAAGCATCATATATGAAGGAAAGATACAGTCTTTTTCAGACAAATAAATGCTGAGAGAATCTGCCATTACCATGCCACCATTACAAGAACTGCTAAAAGGAGCTCAAAATCTTGAAACAAATCCTGGAAACACATCGAAACAGAACCTTTTTAAAGTGTAAATCAAACAGGACCTATAAAACAAAAATACATGTCAAAAAGCAAAAAAGAAACACAAAGTACACAGGCAATAAGGCCATAATGAATGCAACGGTACCTAGTATTTCAATACTAACATTGAACGTTAATGGCCTAAATGCTCCACTTAAAAGATACAGAACCATGGAATGTATGAGAACTCACCAACCATCTGCTGCCTTCAGGAGACTTATGTAACACATAAGGACCCATACAAACTTCAAGTAAACGGGTGGAAAAAGTCATTTCATGCAAATAGACACTAAAAGCGAGCAGGGATAGCTATCCTCATATCTGACAATACAAATTCTAAAGCAACAGCAGTTAAAAGAGAAAAAGAGGGACATTATATAATGTTAAAAGGTCTTGTCCAACAGGAAAATATCACAATCCTCAGCATACATGCACCTAACACTGGAACTCCCAAATTTATAAAACAATTACTAACAGACCTAAGAAATGAGATAGACAGCAACACAATAATAGTGGAGGACTTCAATACTCCACTGACAGCACTAGACAGGTTAACAAGACAGAAAGTCAACAAAGAAACAATGGATTTAAACTATACCTTGGAACAAATGGACTTAACAGATACATAGAGAACATTTCATCCAACAATCGCAGAATACACATTCTATTCAACAGCACATGGAACTTTCTCCAAGACAGACCACATGATGGGCCATAAAATGAGCCTCAATAAATTAAGAAAACTGAAATTATACCTAGCACTCTCTCAGACTACAGTGAAATAAAACTGGAAATCAACTCCAAAAGGAACCTTCAGAGCCATGTAAATACATAGAAATTAAAGAACTTGCTCCTGAATAAGCACTGGGTAAAAATGAAGTCAAGATGGAAATTTTAAAAATTCTTCAAAATGAATGACAATAGTGACACAACCTATCAAAACCTCTGGGACACAGGAAAGGTGGTGCTAAGAGGAAAGTTCATAGCCCTAAGCACCTACATCAAAAAGACTGAAAGAGCACAACTGACATTCAAAGGTCACATCTCAAGAAACTAGAGAAATAAGAACAAACCCAACCTAAACCCAGCAGGAGAAAGGAAATAACTGAGATCAGAGCAGAACTAAGTAAGTTTGAAACAGACAAACAAAAAACACAAAAGATAAATGAAACAAAAAGCTGGTTCTTTGAAAAGATAAATAAAATTGATAGACCATTAGCAAGATTAATCAAGGAAAGAAGAAAGAAAATCCAAATAACCTAAGAAACGAAACATGAGTTAGTACAACTGACACCACTGAAATATAAAAGATCATTCACAGCTACTATGAACACCTTTCCGCACTAGAAAACTAGAAAACCTAGAAGAGATGGATAAATTCCTAAAAAAATACAGCCTTCCTAGCTTAAATCAGGAAGAGGCAGATACCCTGAAGAGACCAGTAACAGGCAGCGAGACAGAAATGGTAATTTAAAAATTACCAACAAAAAAAAGTCCAGAACCAGATGGATTCACAGCAGAATTCTACCAGACACTCAAAGAAGAATTGGTACCAATCCTTTTGACCCTGTTCCACAAGACAGAGAAAGAAGGAGGGAGCCCTCCCTAATTCATTTTATGAAGCCAGCGTCACCCTAATACCAAAACCAGTAAAGGACATAACCAAAAAAGAAAACTACAGACTGAGGCTGGGTGCAGTGGCTCACGTCTGTAATACCAGCACTTTGGAAGGATGAGGCGGGCAGATCACAAGGTCAAGAGATAAAGACCATCCTGGCCAACATGGTGAAAACCCATCTCTACTAAAAATACAAAAAATTAGCTGGGTGTGGTGACTCGCGCCTATAGTCCCAGTTACTGGGGAGGCTGAGGCAGGAGAATCGCCTGAACCCAGAAGGTGGAGGCCACAGTGAATCAAGATCATGCCACCACACTCCAGCCTGATGACAGAGCAAGACTACATCTCAAATAAACACACACACACACACACACACACACACACACACACACACACACAGACTGATATCCTTGATGAACAATGATGCCAAAATCCTTAACAAACTAATAGCTAACTAAATCCAACAACATATCGAAAAGATAATCCACCATGATCAAATGGGTTTCATACCAGAGATGCAGGGATGGTTTAACATACATAAGTCAATAAATGTGATGCACCATATAAACAGAATTAAAAGCAAAAATCACATGATCATCTCAACAGCTGCAGAAAAAACACTGGACAAAATCCAGGATTCCTTCATGATTAAAATTCTCAGCAACATTGGCATACAAGGGCCATACCTTAATGTAATAAAAGCTATCTATGACAAACCCACAGCCAACACAATACTGAATAGGAAAGAGCTGAAAGCATTCCCTCTGAGAACTGGAACAAACAAGGATGCCCACTCTCACAACTCCTCTTTAATAGTATTGAAAGTCCTAGCCAGAGCAATCAGACAAGAGAAAGAATTTAAGGGCATCCAAATTGGTAAAGAGGAAGTC